CCTCAACTCCTTCTCCAGTCCCGTCCCCAGACCCCGGCACCTCTATAAATAAAATCACTTACCTTTTGTATATTCTGTCTCAGCCTTTGTTTGTCACTGGTATTTGCTCATGTTGACCTCCACCTGTAAACCTGATAGTCCCCAGGAGACGCACAGAATTTTTGTATATTATGTAAATTTTTATAAATATTATTTTTTCCATAGTTATTTTTAAATCATTCAAGGCCAAATAATATTTTAACATTGTCGTGGACTAATTATTTCTGTCACCTTGACACTGTCCACTGTTATATTCTTGTAATATCTTATGACTGTTTCTTTAATCTGTGGCTCCAGACGTCAGAGGCTATAACATCAAGATGGCCTCTTTCCACGTACCGATATGGTCACCTTGGGGTTTAGAGCTTGTCATTGGCTGTTAGGGACATGAGGCAGGTTGTGATTGGTTGTTCATTATCACATGATGATAGCTGAAGGTATAACATTTCTTTTCCGCCCTCAGTCGGGCGGCCACATCTGACAGACTTCTCTGATTGTTTTCTGTTTTATGTCTGCCCATTAATAAATGATTTTACGATCATACTCGCAAGACTTTTTGTCTATTTAACATCCTTTCAACATGTTTTCTGCCCATCTTGCCGCGACAGTTTTGGCGTTGTCAACTGGCAGTTTCCGGGTTCGGGAGCCGCTCGCCGTGGCCGGATCGTCAGCCTGGACCGTGAGTGGAAGACAAAGTTTTTTTTCTTTTTTCTCCGCTGCAAAGAGTCCGCGCTGGTTTTCGGCCGCTGTGGGTACGGTTCTCGGGACCGGAGCTGAAGAAAGAACCTGTCTGGACGGAAACACGGGTGAGCTAAATATCTTTACGCTGTCGGAAATAAATAAATAAATACATACATACGAAAGTGCTACAGCTAACATTTTCGGGCTTAGCACACACTAAAAATCTATTTATTAGGTGCCTGCTCTGTGTGCTTTCAGGGGCTGACTGATTTCTTAGCCGAGGTAGGTCCGGGAGCGTAGATTTCAGACCGAGTTTTAAAACAGGGAGGTTTTGACTTTACTGTTTTGAGCTAGCCAGGAGAGAATTTGTTTGAACCTGGTTAGAAAAGGCAGCTAGCCAGGGCTAACTGTTGAGGGAAAATTGGTTTTTCCATTTTGCTGTTTCAGGAAAACAGGGTAGGTTAAGAAAGTCAGATAAAAAAGGCGGCCGCCCAATTTCCATTTTGAGGAAGTTTATACGTAGTGCATTGGTAGGCACGAGTTGACAGTGATGGGACAGGGTACGTCCACCACTCAGCCCTCGGTAGCACCGGACAGCCCTTGCTCAAAAGCGATGGTTAAATTGTATGGCGAAGAGGCCACGTCTTGTCTGCGTGTGTGGTCTGACCAGTTCGGATTTCCGGAGGGGGGGACTTTTAGCCCCAGGCAGCTGACCCACCTCCGGGYCCGGATACTGCAACATGAATCAAAACTTAAATCAAGAAAAACGATAAAGGTTTCTGATTTGAATGAAATAGAACATCATAAAAAATGTTTATTAGCGTGGTAGGAAGAGGCTTACAGGAGGGAAAGAAAAGCTTTAAGCTCAGAAATGTGTATGTACAAAAGCAGCCCTCCTCCCTATACAAATAAAAAGGAAAAAAAGCCTACTGATAAGGATGAAAAAAATGATTTAAAAGCTGTTGATAAAAACACTAAACGTGTGTTTCCTTCCATTTATCCCTCTCTGCATGGGCTGAGGGAGCAATATGAGGACACTCTGAGCCCTGGACGTCGACCCCCACCGCCGACAGCAACCTGCTTTGAATCTGATAACGAGGAGGAAGAGGTGCCGGACACGGAATCTGATGACGACACAGCTGCTGATATCGGGCCTCAGACATCATCTCCTATGAGCACTGACCCAGCGAAGCAAGTACTACCACAGCCACAGCCGAGAAAGGCGACAAAAGCAGCTGCTGCAAAGATGGAACTCAGAAAAAGACAGGAACGGCGCAGCAAAAGCCCTCTGCCCCTCCACCCCTCGCTCAAAGACAGGGTACCACAGCTCTGATGCTGTGGCACTGAAGACTACAAAGAAACTGGCTGAGCTGCAGGAGGGAAAAGAGGCTCTGGAAGCACAGCAAGCAGCGTTAACTCAGAAGACCAGCGAACTGACCCTCCCCATGCTTGAGGTCTCAGGACATGCAGGTCCAGCACTGGTGTTCCGCCCCTGGACAAATGAGGACATGAAGGCGTACATGCAGCAGCTACCGAACGTTGTGGAAGGTGGTGAAAAGTTCTGCGCTGCCATAAAAAGTTTCTGCAAAGAGGTACAACCCACTTTCCCTGAAATGAAAAGGCTGCTGCTCTTTCACATGGGCCGAACCAACTTTGACAAGGTTAAAGGCGACCTGGACGGTGAATACCGTACCATACATCCGACCTTTGATGACGCAGCAAACGACGACTACCGAGCTGCATTGGATAAACTGTGTGTCACCATCAACCGAGTTTTTCCAAGAAAGGTTGTCATGTCAAAAGTAAAGGCCTGTGTGCAGCAAAAGACTGAATCAACGGAGGACTATTACTCTCGGCTGCTAGCTGTCCATAATGAGTYCTCTGGAATTGARGAGCCGTCAGACCTGGGTGACGTGATGGGACATTGGGAGAGTGCTTTCAGCCAATATTTCCTGAACGGCCTGTTACCTGAAGTCTTCGCAGGGTTGAAGGACACCTGTCTCGACATGAAAAACGCTCGCTTGGAGAAACTACGCAAACACGCCAGGTGCGCGTATGAGAAACTGGAGAATGAAAGAGAGGCTGTGGATAAACTGATATCTGACGCCCACAGACAAAAACAGCTCACGCTGGCCCAAACTGTGTGAAATCCTGGTCGTTGCCCTCGCGGTGGAGGAAAGGGCCGCGGTAACTGGAAACGCCAGAAAGAAGAAAAAAAGAGACTCTCACTCCCACCTCCAGGCACTCAGTGTTATCTCTGTGGACAATCTGACCACTGGCTGAAGGATTGCCCAATGCGGAAAGAGGTGATGTCCTCCCTGAAAAGAGAGACTGCTCAAAGAGAAAAAACCCAGCAGACGGATGCCTGCAGCTGACTGAGTGTGGAACAGGGCCGGACAGAGCTTCAGCGAGGGGGGGCCGACACCAGGAGCACAGAC